AGAGCGGTTAAGTATGCAATGCACCTTTTGCAATTGGCAGTTTAGAGTGGGGGGGAGGGTAACTCCACTGAAAGGCAATTGTTTACTCTTTCTAAATAATTTTGGCTGCAGGTATTCTTAGAAAAGGTCTTTTACAATGAAAGGAAAACCACGGTGTGTAGATTTGTAAACAGAGCCGAAATCAGCTAGTGCCTGCTTAGAATATGGAGAGACACCAGGGGCTGGGAGAGGGCATCACAAAGGGCAGGAATTAAAATATTGAAAACCAGGCCTCAGATTTCCATGAGAAATGTTGACTCTAGGTCAGACCGTAAACATTTAATTGCCGTTTGGTTTTCTTTATTTTTTATTTAAGCTAAATAATTCTCTCGGGATTCGTCGATAGAATTTAATTTTGGAATGATCTGGTATAAAGCAAGCCTTCATCAAGGAGAATACACCAGCAGTTTTGAATTCCCAGCTCTGCTGATTCAGCAACCCAGTAATAAGGGCTTTTCCAGCCCTAAACATTCCAGATTGTTTTATTATAACTTTGTACCATTTCCTTTTTTTTTTCTTTTTGTCCCCCCTCTACTGCATTCAGTTCTGCCTCACCTTGGTTCAGAACAGTTTGGGGGAGGATGGGAAGGGGATGAGGGGGATAGTTCACTTCAGAAAGCCTTTCCTCCAAAGAGAAACACTGAACTTACAAGTGAAGAGGAAAACAGGGATAACTCTACAATAAGTCAAAGTGTGTGGAATCAGAATTTTTAAACAGTGTTTTTAATTGAAAAATAAAGCTAAAGCATGCTTTTCAACAGTGCAAATGTCCATAATTTTGATTTACTGCTTCCATCATCACAACATATTATACCAACATGTCTTACTGAGGCCAAGACTCTAGAAGTCTGCCTCTTCAACTACTTCGATATTAAGTGCAAATATAGATCATTGCCTCTGATTGTCACGTGCAGTAGAAATGCTCCTGCTACATAGATAGGATGATATGAGGAAAACTCAAGTTTCCAACGTTGCAGATAAGTGGACTATGGTTCAAATGCCTGAGTTTTGGTGCCAAAAAGCTATGAATACCGTGGCATTCTCGTTTTGTGTATTCTTCCAGCTCACGGCCTCTCGTTTCACTTTCTGTGCTGTATTTACTGCTTTGCTATTTCCTCCGTCGAGTGTGAAGGGCTGGACCATAAATTGTACTGCTATGCAGGCAAATCTTTGAGTTGCTTTGCAAGTTTCTAAGGGCATGTTCAGACTACAACTTAAATATGACATTAGTGGGTAACAGTAACCTTATTTAAGACCTTTGGGTGAAACAAAAAGGCTTTCCAATTGCAAAGAGTGGCTGTTCAAGTAAAAGACACCCTTTACCAAAATATAATTCCATATTTATTGACTAGTTTTAGATGAGGCAGCTTTTTCCAGTGCTCGAGTGGTATTCGAACCTGAACCTCTCCAAACCAGAGAAAATTTAGTAAGTGCAACTGCTCTTATCAAAGACACCCCTACACCCGAAAACAAAGCTCCCGAAAAGTAGAGACTCCTGCCACATTGAATTATAGTGAACCCTTACTGTGCAACCATGTAACTTAACAAACTTTAACTGAATTAACAGTTAGACTTCCATTTTCGAAATCTAGTGCATAAATTTAATGGCTCATTCTAATATTTATTATTCAACCTTTTGACATTTATTTGTAGCAGTTGAATTGAGGTACTGGTGCATTATCAGCATTTAAACAGTAAAGTGTTCCAGCTCTACCATAATAACTGAGTTTAACTTGAGTCTTTAGCCTGAAGTACTCTGTGGAATGTAAAGGCCCCCCCCCCCACCTCCAAAAAACACGAAAGAAAAAAAAAAACCTGTCGTAATGGCAACAAAAATAGTAATCCGATTTCTGTCGTCACAATGTGATAAAACAGGACTCCAAACGTGTGTATAGCATTAATGGGCTTGTACAAACCATCCTGCAGAGTTTAAAACATAAGAAAGGTAAAGGTGGTTCAAGAAAATATTTTTCAAACCATTTTATTAATTAAATTTCCTGAATTTGTGGCTGGGTGGAAGAGGTATTGCAGAACCGCCCAACTGCCATTTCCATACAGGATGGGCCTTGTGAGGTGGTTGGGAATCCTTAGTGGTGTTTAAGGAATAAGCTGGCAACAAATCCCCATCAGTGCCAATAATTAGTGACGGTGGACAGGGAAAATTTGCCATGAAATTAAACGGCCTTTTCACTGCTGATGCTACATTGCTGGCTACCCTTTTGCGTCTATTGGTAACTGTAAAATCATCCAGTGTTCCTTCATGTGTCTCAATTTTACCTGTAGGACGTGGGCTTCTAGCGGATTTCAGATTTGGTTTGACTGGAGGAGTCTGCAGCACAGGTCGCTTTCCCAAAACCAAAGTCCTGTAATTCTTTCTCACCCTGGCTCCAAATTTATACTCCCCGTCCTCAGGTTTCGGAGTCCCTAAAGTGCATGAGAGGGCCTGACTCTGAGTCAGCAGCGGGCTTAAGGAAGTGGTTTCCTTCTCAGTGCATGCAGGCTCGTCCTTGGCTGGCAATAAAGCGTCCTGGTTATTACTCTCAGTCACCCCGTAAAACTCATCCTTGGGATCATTGCACTCACACTTTAGCTTATGCTCTGTTAGGTCAGGTTCGTACTCTTCGCTGGCACTGCTGTCCTCGGTCTTGATGCGGATGTTGTGCGGCAGCGGCAGTGCCTTATTGCCCGGCTCAGGGCACTCGAGCTCCGCGGCTGCTGCTGCCGCCGCTGCCCCCGCGGCAGCAGCAGCCGCAGCCGCAGCCGCAGCCGCAGCGGCCCCGGGCTCAGTGTGCGGAG